AGCCCACGGGCCAGCAGTTTGACACCCCTGTCCTAGAGAGATGCAGGGAAACTTTTCTGGATTTTTTTCTCTCTGGCCACTGCCAGACTTGACATTCTGAACTCAGTTTTACCTGTGACAGTTTCTTTTTCACAGCAGACTTGGTCCTATTCTTTTGAAACAGTTATTATGACAATAGGTAGACAAACAGTCCAAAACCTATGGGGTCCGTGATGCTTTCTGAACTTAGTCCTTTACTTGTAGATACTTCATTACCAAACTAAGTATGACATCAGTGCTAGAATGATGCACTGATGATATTACCTATTTTTGTAATGAAACATCTGCAAGAAAATCACCAAGCTCAGAGAGCACCAAGGACCCCACAGTTCAACCCTGAGCTACACATATACTCTTCTGTTGGTAACAAAGCCTTTCCATGATTTTCTTATAACATTATTTGGACTGGATAGAATAATGTTATGTGATAATGCCACATTCTTATTACCAGTTTTTTTAAAAATGGAAAAGGTTCCACATATATTTTTCAGTAGTACTTAAAGTACTATAAATTGCAGATATAGTGAGAAGCATGCTAAGAGACATAATTATATTGGCTAACTGATATTAAGGGACAGTAGCAACTCCAGATAGTATCTACAGAATCCCCAAACTAAGTATTGTAAAAATAAAAATATTCTAAAATTAAAAATATTTTAGAGTCTTGCCATGCACTATATTTTATAAGATTTTTGGCACTTTATGTGAGTTCTTAGGAGTATGAAGTGGTGTAAAATTGGACAATCTTCTCTAGGGTTGGATACAATTGGACAGGGAAAACCTTTATCTTTACTTTAAAATGTTGAGTATTCTACTTTTCAAAATTAATTATTTTTTAAGTCCATGTTTATTGCACAAAATTATATTTGTACAATATTTGAAAGCACTGCTAGCTTCTGCTATGCCATGTTTATCTGGATTAGAGTTATAAAAATCTGATATCACTGGGCAAAAGCAGAGATAATTTAATATAACACTTTATATCAAGTTTTACTGGGCAAGAACAGTAGTTAAGTTCTGGTAGGAGACTGAACATTTGATACTTATGCAATGTTGATTTATTATAAAAATTTATAAAATTTTCCTTTTCTCCTCTTTTTAATTGCCCACCATTTCTAACAATAAAATATTATCAAATATTATCTTAGTCTTGTAATTACTTTTTTTTAAATCATACCATTGTTTTTGAGATTCTTTAAATTTTCCTGAGTTGTACTGGATCGAATTCATTAATATTTTTTTCTATGTTCTAATAGTAAGAAAAAAATTTTAAAGTTCTTTTTTCCACAAAGGAAAGTATGCAGATTTCAGTAAGATATATTTAATGTTAGTTTGCAGTAAATTCAGAATCCTGGAAATTTTCTAAACTCATTTTTATTGAATTAATTAAAGCAGAGTTTCTTTGAATGGTTAGAAAATGCATCTTCCCAGTTTTTTTCTCCACCTGGATTGATGTTTTTGAGATAAGCTTTCAACTGACTCATCCTCTATCTCTTAATTTTTTATGTCTATTTCTGCTTTCCCCTCCTTTTTTCCCCAGTCTCCTTATAATCATCTATTAGTGATATTCCTGATTTTATAGTTTGTAGTCTCAGCAAGCTCTAGGTAATACTTTGGTTTTCAGCATGCTAAGAGCTATGAATATATGATAACTTGCAAGGAAAAGTCTCAAACAGAAAGTTCTATAATATTGCCAACAGAGTGAAGTCAATTATTCTCATCTCTCTCTCTCTCTCTCTCTCTCTCTCTCTCTCTCTCTCTCTCTCTCTCTCTCTCTCTCTCTCTCTCTCTCTCTCTCTCTCCTTAATCCCCCTTTAAGTAGAACCTGCCATCCTTTACTTACGTAAACCATACTTAGAAAAACAGCAACAAAGTGCTTCTTTAAAAAGTTGAATATAGTTTTCTGTTTCCTTTCCAAAATGTTTTTGTTAGTTCATAAAAAGCAGTTAAATATTTGTGTGGCTGACAGTTGATGTCTTGCTTTGAATCTGGCTTTTTATACTTTAATTACTGTAGATATTGAATGGTATCTTTTCCCATGAAAGAGGTACCACATTTGCGTACTCATTTGTAAAGCAGAGCAATTTAAAAAATAATGCTTTTGTTTATCTTGTTTATGCTCTATGGATACTAAAGCTTGCCAGTAAATATCTTTATTGGATGAAAAGCTGCTTCTATCTTGGTGTTTGTGGGTGAAAATATTTGAAATATGCAGAAAATATTTATTCTGCATCATTCTGAATGATTGATGACCATTCAAAAAATAGCTAGATTTTTGTTGTATACGTTTGAAGTTACGTTCTGTCTCCCTAGGAAAATAATTCATATTTGGGCTAAAGTTCACTCTTTGAAGAAAATTAAAATATAAATAGAGCTCATCAGTGCAGTAGATTTGATCTGCATCTTTAGGTCCTGGTTACCATTTCCCCTTTTTCTTCATGGACAGCATTTCACAATTGTAATATTTTAATTTGTTTTAAATTTGCTTTTGAGTCTTTTACATCAGAGGTGTTGAATATTGTTTAATTTACTTTTCACCTGAGCTGTCAGTTACAATCTACAATTTAGGGCAGGAAAGAAACTAGGAAAAAAAATAGATCTTCAATTCACACTACGAAGTTCATTGAGTCTAATCCACTTTCACTGCAAGTTTATTATTTTTCTACAATCTAACATACCTGCAATTGTAATTATGTTTAGCCTTCATTACAACACATTTTCTCAGGTCTGATCAAACTGGAAAAGATAAGGCTACCATTAGAAACTCATTAAATATCTCATTCGTATCGAATAGATCAGGGTTCTCCAACCCCTGGTCTGCGGACTGGCACGAAGCCTTATCCATGCACACGCAGGATGCAGGCAGTGCGTTAAACCATGCCCCCCAGTCTGTAGAAAAAATACCCTCCATGGAACTAGTCCCTAGCACCTAAAAGATTAGGGCTGCTGGAATAGATGTAACTTTGTACAAAAAGAATACTTTCTATATTTCCTCTTAATTGTTTTGACTCCAACCTGTCCACAATGTGAGCCAACTATAAATCCACTTCCCCCTTACTGCAGCCCTGCTTCAATCACCTGCTAGGCAATAAATAGAGTATTGTTACGTAATATTCTTTTAGAGCAGTGGCAATCCCTTGAAAGACCTGCTTCTGAAGGTACGGAAGCATATAGAAAATGTTTCCTATTTAAATTATTAAATCAGCCAGGTCTTTTTCTAGTTTGCATCCCTGTTTTGGAAGCCACACCTACTAGACTTGTGTATGTTCCTTCTGCATCAGTGAAAATGTGATGTGGAATGTTGCATGTGTACATATATAGGGATAATTGAAGGTAGCACACATCTAGAAAAATTATGGTGGTAGTAGGGGAACTCATATAAAGTCCTTGCATGTTTTGTAGCATCTTTAAAGAAATGCAAAAATTGCACAACCCTAAACTATATTTTTGACACAAACTTTACAAAAGAAGTCAGTGCAGAACTTTTGGAAGATTCCACATTGTACATTTTATGCTTCGTTTGAATTCATGTGAATCTGGCCCTTTCTTTTGACCTGCTTGCTCAAACCATTGATCTTGCAAAGAACTGACATGATTTCTTTCATGATGCCTTATCAAAATGCATGGCATAAACATTAGTTGACTTTCAACTGGTTAGCTTCAATGAAGAATTATTTAGATTTTGAATGAAACTCAATCTTATTTAATAGTATGAGGTGATAAGTGCCAAGCATAATTAGGGTTAGTGCTGATTCGAATCTTAACCATATTTACGCTTTTCAAAGGATAATGCCTGTGGGGTATGTGACCCTGTGGTTCACACTGTCATGCATTTGTAATGATTGTAATATTAACATGTAGTATGTAGGCAATTAGAAAGGCAAAACATTGAAAGAAGCTGTTTTATTATCACCTCTTCCACCATTAATATTACTATGTATTTCTTTTTTCTCCATCTTTAAAGCTCATAGGCTTGTAGCTTCCTGCTGGGCAAGGACCTTTGAAAAATGCTTGTAAGGGATGGGAAAAAGAGAGGCAAAATTCATATATGAGAATACAACAGAAGTGATAGATATGCTGGCCATATTCTGAAAAGTTGACAGTTTAGGATCAGAAATACTGAAGATTCCTATAGTTATTTACTTTGCCACTGCCAAACCCAAATGACAGAATTTACTCTGAGTAGAAAACCATAGTAATTTGAAATAATGGTAGAGTTAGAAACATTATAGTTATTTATTAATCCGTGTTGATTGTGCAATGATTGCATATGAAAGTATATTGCTTCACTGGAAAAGCACTCTGAAACCATATTTCTAATTATGATCAGAGAATATTATTTTATTCTATTACTTACAGGGAGAAAAATCTCCTTTTTTCTCTTCTGCAACCTGTTGGTTGCTGCCCTTTTATGAAGAAAGGAAAAATCAGGCAATAATAATAATAATAATAATAATAATATTAAGAAGAAGGAGAAGGAGAAGGAGAAGAAGAAGAAGAAGAAGAAGAAGAAGAAGAAGAAGAAGAAGAAGAAGAAGAAGAAGAAGAAGAAGTAGTAGTAGTAGTAGTAGTAGTAGTAGTAGTAGTAGTAGTAGTAGTAGTAGTAGTAGTTGGTATAAGGGATCTTGGAGGTCATCTAGTTCAACCCCCTGCTCAGGCAGGAAACCCTATACCATTTCAGACATGCAAGATTGCTGTCTTGCAGTTCAGCCACAAATTAAAATATTGCACTTTAGTTTTCTGTGTTTCTTTTTGAACAAAAATAGAGTCTGACAACTCTGTGGGAGATATTATGTCTGGACTAGATGGTTGGTCAATAAGCAGCACTGTCAATGCAAATAATTGAAGTCCATGTTGAGAATTTCTAGCTTATTGGATGTCCAGTCGTTTCCAAACCTAAGGTGCTTTGTTTGGTTTCATCTTGCTGTGAAATGGGATTTTTTTTTTTCCTTTTCCTGCAGTTGGAATCACCTGGGAGTCCTCTGGGGCCGGAGCTGCCTATTGAGACACTAATGGATGACCGGGAGCGTAGGATTTCCCATTCACTCTACAGTGGGGTTGAAGGCCTCAATGAATCCCCCACCAGGAATGTTGCCTTGAGTAGACTAATGGGTAAGTCAAATAGACTTGGTTACCGTGTGCTATGTTATCAAGCAGTTCATAGGGACTTGCAAATGGATTATCAGTGCTTCTCACTCCCTCCCTTCCTCTGTTTTGTGTGTGTTTGTGTGTAAGCAGCAGCAATTTAAAAGGCTGCTTTTCTCCCTTTTCAACTTTTCTTGAAGGAAATCAGTATATTGATTAAATAAGTGTCTGACCACAGTACAAATGATAAACACGAGAAGATTTTTTAAAAAAATAAAATAAAATGAGTTTGGCAACAGGCTTTACACTATTTTGCAAGAGTCTGCCCAATCTAGCTTCATTAACTATAAGTTCAATGAAAGTTATGATGATCAAGTAAGTACCACTGAAGTTTAAGCTTTGATTTTACTTCTCCATAACTTTATATGGTAATCGTTTTGGACTTCGGATGATGTTTGTTTAAGAACATACTTTAAAAGCCACATGGGATCTTAAAATACTAATTTTGTGAATCCTCGTGTATTCTGCTCTTTGTAGAGTCACCAATGGACATTTTTTTTTTTGCTTGTAGCAATTTATTAGTCTTGCATTTAGAAGAGTATTTACTTAGTGATCCATTTCATCTTGATTTAAAAAATAACCCTGAAGAGGATTTACTTAATATGGAATATTAAAATAAATGTTAAATTTTGGAAGAATTTGGATAGATTCATAATAATAATGTATTAACAATTAACAATTGTTAATTAACAATTCTAATACATCTTTTGCATATCTACATATATTCTGCTTATTTTCTTCTTTCCTGTGATCAAAGAGCAACAGATGTTTGGGCAAGGAGAGTTATTCAGTGCTTTGCATCCAAAAGGAGAAAATATGAAAAATGTGATTTGACATATTCAAGGGCATAACACCTGTTGGAAATTCTTTAAGATAGCTATGACTTTTCCTGGTCTTGTTCAGCTATTGTCTGTATCTGCTGTGCAATGCAAGCAAATAACATATTAAATTTACTAGTTTTCTGGCAGATGCATCCCCACATATATTCTGACCGTTTCTAAATCCAAAGGGATTCAGGGTCTTATTATAGTCTATTTCTCATTGCTCAGTTTTTCAAATTCAGTAATACCTAGCAGGATGCAATCTGGGTAAGTCACCAGGACCATAGGTTTTGTCTTTCAAGCTTTCAGACTTGTGCTGGACTCCATCTTCAGGATATTTCTCTCTAGCCCTGATGATAGGTGCAAACATGAGTCTGAAAGCTCGGAACACTAAATCTCTGGTCCTGGTGACTGACCCAGATTATATCCTGCTACATTATTCTGGCATATGTATATTTGCCTTCATCAGTAATACCTAATTGTTTCCATGTGGCTGGATTTATCCGAATTAGACTTTGCTGAGATCTACATAATAGCCATTGCAATGTATGATTTCAATGGATGAACTCCACACTAATAAAATTTCTTCACTGTTATGTTAACTTAAAAGAAATGATGATGACGATGATGATGATGACGATGATGATGACATCCATTCAGTCATGTCCAATGCTTCACAATTCTATGGGCCAGGTGTCTCCATATCTTCCAATCTTATACTACTTCTTTGAGTTTTTCTAGACACTGGCTAGTATCAACTCTGATGGGGTCCAGCACTGTTTTCTTTGATGACCTAGTTTCTTTTTACCACTAACTCTTAAAAGAAATAGCCACATTGAAATATGAGTTGATTATTACTTAAGGGTGCTATATCAAAGGGCATGTTAATTGCATGCAGTTTTCCAAGATTAAAAGTTCAGGTCTTAGAAAAAAAATTAGAAGATTATTCTTAATCTCCATTAGCTGTACTTATATTTTCTATGTTCCAAGCCAGATATATTTTAACTTGATGCATATTTTCATTCCTTTGATAAGAATTTGGTACAGCAAGGGGATTGCAGAATTCAGTGCAGCAAGTAGATACTGACTGGACCTAATCTCTTTATATAATTTTAAATTTTAAATTATAGTTTGATATTTAAAACTATCACATAGTTCATATATACATACATACACATATAATAAAACTAATACAAACTAATATAAAGTAAGAAAAAGTATTTTACAGCGGATCTAAGTACAATTATAAATTGACCTCTTACTCAGTGATTATAATGTAACTCTCTTCTTTCTATGATCTATCCTGTCTAATATTCAAAGCCATGAATCATAAATTCATTTCTTCTGTTTTATGCAAAATATTTCCAGTCAGCAATAAATAAAAATAAAAATATATATTGTATTTTTTTTACCAAAGAAGTCAATTTGCCATCTCAGTAAGTTCCATTATGTTTACTGTCTATTGCTTCATTGTGGGTACTGCTGATTCTTTCCATTTTTCTGAATACTTTCTTCAACTTCAATAATTTCACTGAAGTTATTATGTACAAAAACAAAATTTCATGACTTTTTTCAACTGTTATCCATCAATCTCCCCCCAAAAATATTTGGTCTCAATTGTATGGTAATCTTTAAGGTTCTCTGTAGATATTTAAATCCATTTTTTTAGCTTTTTTACATATTCAGAAAGCACGATAAGCCACAAAAATATGTTCAGACACAACCTGAATTTGCAACTATTTCATGGTCTCGATATGGCACATCTAACAATGATCTTTGAAATCCATATTAAGTTTATCTTACTACAAATATCTATGCAATTCAAATCCCACACCATGTACTTCTAACTCCAAAAGCCTTCTATTTCTCTCAGCAGCACCTACTCTTTCATCCAAACCAAGCAGTAAGCTGCAAAATACAATTTCAGATTAGGTAAAATCAATCCCCCTCTTTCATTTTCATCTGTAATATATTTATCCCCCTATTTCATTTTCATCTGTATATATATATTTGCCTTGCTGGACAAATTTAATAGAATAACAGAGTTGGAAGGAACCTTGGAGGTCTACTAGTCTAATCCCCCGCTCATCCTATACCATGTCAGACAAACGGTTGTCCCATCTCTTCTTAAAAACCTCCAATGTTGGAGCACCCACAACTTCTTGGGCAAGCCATTCCACTTGTTCATTTTTCTGACAGGAAATTTTTCCTTAGTTCTAATTGTTTCTCTCCTTGATTAATTTCCATCCATTGCTTCTTGTCCTGCCGTCAGGCACTTTGGACAATAAGTTGACTCCCTCTTCTTTTTAGCTATATCCTTTTGCCACCGTTTAAATAGTGTAACATTTAAATATGCACTGTCTGAAACAAAAACATCATTTTAGCAAAGACATTCATTTTTATTATGTAAATTCTCAGCATTGACAATTGTAATTTCTCACATCTTAACATATTTCTTTTAACTTCATTCCATGTCTTAACATAATTATTTTGAAGTCACATACGTTCATGTTTGTGATAGTAATTATGTTACCATCTTCTCAATCTTAAAATCCATTTTATTCATCAATTATGTTTCATCTTCTATTTTCATATTTTGCTAACGTCTTTATCTTCTGTTTATTAATCTTGAAACTTGCTAATGCACCAAATTGTCTTAATTTGCCCATTAATATTTATAAGTGGAAGAAATTTATCTCAGAAGCTCAGTTCAACATTATGGGATTATCTATTCATTACAGCAATTTTGTGATGGCACGCAGTGCCAAAAAAAACAAACCTCTCTAAAACAACAACAAAATTAAATTTCATATACATTCAATTCAGTTCCAACATAATCATTTTGTTACTATTAAAAGTCAGGTTTACTTCCAATAGCCTTTTGGCTTATCCATGTAATCTTTCACAAAAGATAGGTAAAAACTATTCTTTTTATAAATTAGTGGCTTGCTTTTTACAGCCATGACATACACACCACTGCTTCAAAAAGTTCACACTCAAGTTTGAAAAGGCAGACAAGCTAGAGCAGTGATGGCGAACCTTTTAGAGACCAAGTGCCCAAACTGCCACCCAAAACCCACTTATGCATTGTTGGGTGCCGGGTGAGTGTGGCCCATTGGCTGGGTGTGGCTGTGTGGTAACGGCAGACGAGGTGGGACTAAAAAGTTCAATCAATCAATTCCAACTTTGCAAGATTTTTTTTTCCCCGCGAGAAGTTGAAATTGACTGATTGATTGAACCTTTTTTTTTTTTTTTGCACACGGCGGTGGACGCCTAAAGCGAAAAGGTTTTATAAAACCCAGCTGAAGGCCAAGGACTGGGGCGATGGCGTGCATGCTCACAGAGAGGGCAGAACTTCCAGCAGAACTTCCTGCAAAGGCATTTTTCTCCAAAAGTAATTGGAAGGCTTCATTTGAGGCTACATGAACAAGATCAGGAATTATGGATCATGTTAGAACCATGGACCAGAGGGCCCTCTCTTCCTCATGTCATGGTAAGAGAGTGAATCCCCATTTTAGTTTAATCATAGCCAAATCTTACGTACAAACCTCAGTTGTGATTAATCTTAAAGTTTGAAATAAGTTGATTTCTTTAATGATTTGAAGTTGGCCTTTGTGAAAAAAACTGTAGCTAAGATTAGCCAGTTTGAAATGCTTGAGTTCAATACGAGAAAGTTAATTTAAAAGGAAGAAAAAACTATTTAATGATACCTGCATACCCACACACACAAAAGAGGAGAAGAAGATGAAAAAGGGAAAAGACAATTTTTTTCTGCTAAATAATAGTCTTAGTTATTTTGTGCAAATCAGTAAAAAAAAATTCTGACCAAACATTTTGAAATTCTCATTTATCAATTCTTTACAACTGTAATTCATTTTTAATTTTTTCACTTGCATTGTTATATGTTCATCCATGCTAGATAAATAGCATTGGGAGGGTTGTCCAAAATTTTCTAATTTATATTATTTGATTTTTTTTATCATAAAAGCATTTTTTAAAAAAATTGTAGTGTTATCCAGCTATGTTCTTACAGGTACTAGTCTGAAAGTAGATAGATTAGGGAACAACTATATCAAAAACATGAGCTTGTTGTATTTTTATAAAAATGGCATCAATTGACTTAATCTGATTAAGACAAATTGAACCATTTTAAATTACCTTTAGTGGCCTTTAATGATTCTTTTTCATTGGGCTTTCTTTCTAGGATTAGCCTGAAGAAGATTCTTCTTTAATTCCATTTCAAACTACTGAAAAAGAAATGCATTTTATTTCAAATTTTAGTCTATCTGCTCAAATGTCATCACTCAGAGTTGTTGAAATATTAAGAAGTGCACAGAAAAGCTAGGCATGCCACTGATTACTTCTGCCTCTCAACCTTAGAGTCATGATCTATAAAATGCTATAAGGTTATACAGTTTCACATTCAATTCTTTAGGGATATTATTAGCCATAAAGTTAACAATCTTGTAGGCATTATGTTTGAAAACGAGTGGATTTCTAGGCTCAACATTAACCTGTCAATCAAAAAAGCTTTTGTTGAGAAAAGAATTAGCTGCTATGCAAACATCAGCACATTCATTTCAGCATGACAGTGGTGGATCTAAGTACAGTAGAGTACCCTTCTTCTTCTTCTTCTTCTTCTTCTTCTTCTTCTTCTTCTTCTTCTTCTTCTTCTTCTTCTTCTTCTTCTTCTTCTTCTTCTTCTTCTTCTTCTTCTTCTTCTTCTTCTTCTTCTTCTTCTTTTTCTTCTCCTCCTCCTCCTCCTCTTCCTCCTCTTCCTCCTCCTCCCCCCTCCTCCTTTTTTAAAAAAATTTTTTTTCTCCTTTAAACTTTACTGGATAACAATACTTGCTTTTGACTTTTTTTAAAGTTTCCAGAACTGTTTTTTGATTGAAATTAACAGGATTAGCTAAACTAAGAAAATTTAATGTCACCCAAAATAGTGGGGTTTCTTTACACCAATTTAATATTTTTGAATCAAAATTCTTCATAAGCATGCCAGAATTTGACCTGTCAGTCAGCTCTGGAGAACATGAATTATATATCTGAGAGGTTTTTCCCACTCTATTTAGCTAACCTTCTAACTCATGTTGATTGCTCTGTAGACCTTAGGTAAAAGGCTGACTTAGAGATAAGAAAGACTTTAAGATTAATTCCATCACCATAAACTCACTGGTTCAGCCTTAGGAAAGTTAGTCTTTCACTTTTATCTTTGATATTTAATATTAAACAATGACATAAACAAAGTGTATGTTAAACATAATACACATTTGAACATTTCATTCAGATGGTAATGATAACTATTCCAAGAGAGAAAAGAAAAGCAGACGGAGAAAAAAGAGGCACACACTAATGATTCATCGTCATAAATGCCTAATATGATACTCCTAAATGTAGAGGAAGATAGATCTATTTTACATGTTGTTGGAGATTCTTCTAGGCATTTTCAATTTTTAATAAATAGATAAAATTTATTATGGTTGCTATATGTCAATAGACATTTATAATTGAAATCTGCGCCTAGAAATGCTGTTTTCAATGAAGACTTACGTCAAAATGAATAGTATTGGAATTACATAGCTTCTTAATAGTATATTTTTAAATATAGCCCTGATTCAAGTCAGTGTTGATAATGGAAGTTCACTGAAAGTCTTTGGGTTAATTGTTCTCTCTCAGTCCAACTCAACCCACAAACTTGCTGTGGCACAAAAGCAGTTTGAGAAGGGAATGCTGAGTTACAAATCTAACAAATAAAATAATTCTTCATCCATTTTGTGCAGGTAAATTCCAGCTTTCCCCAACAGTCAACATGCCCCAGGATGATATGATAATGATTGAAGATGACAGACTACCTGTACTACCTCCATATCTTTCAGACCAATCATCTTCCAGTTCTCATGATGACATAGGCTTTGCAACCATGGATGCTGGAGCTTGGAGTAAACCAATAGTGAATGAATCAGCAGAATGGTAAATGTTATGTTTACTTTAATAATTACTTTTCTTTATTAAATACTTCATTGGTTTCATCACTGAAATAGAAGAACTATTTTTCTAGACATCTATGGATATTCTCAATCATTCAAGTGATGGTTGTCTCAAAGTCCTTTTTCCAAAAGGCAACTGGACTTTTTCTCTTTGAAAACATTTCATTTCTCAACTAAGAAACGTATTCAGTTCTAAAGAAGAACACTCTTCCTATCTCTTCTCCCTGTCAAGCCATCTAAGAACTTAAGTGAGAAAAGCAAATTTCATATTATTCTGGCATATGATCTCATATTAGCATTTTGGAGTGGGGGTAACAATAGTTGCTGGGGTTTCTTTGTTATCTTACATAGGAGAAATACTTCCTGTTTTTTTAAGTCTTTTTAAATATAATCTTTACTAATTGCAGAGAACAACAATAATTTGTATGTGTGGTAATTATGTTCAGCAATAAGCAAAATAAAAGGCCTTTCGATGGAACTCCTACTAGGTTTGTGGTGATAATTAACCCAAGCAGGTTGAAGTATAAGTGTTTTCCAAGTCTCATATCCTCCTGAGCTTGATATAACTGTGTCAGCAATATTTTAATAACTATTACCCACAGCGAGAATCTCTGTTTGGATTTGTACTAGTCAGCTATTCCTTACACACACATGTGTATGAATATGCAGTGGTATTCAGTCATATTAATTTTACTCTTACTCTATCTTTGAAAAAGCTTTCAGTTGTTATATTAAAAGCCATTTCTTTCTTCATTACCTTGCTCTTCTCTATCACATTGCTCTACTCCTACGTTGACTTCTCAGATTCCCACCATTATTTTTCTAGAGCAAAATACCTAAAAACTAACTAACTGAGATTTTGGAAATGCATCTATGCATTTCAACAGCACTCTATATTTCATTCTGAGGGGAATTTTTTTAGAGTTGAAACCATTTCTCCTACCATCTCCATTTGTTGATGCCATAAAATTTTATTTTACTTTTACATTTTACAAGCCCCCAATAGAAAAAGAAAGGATGAAAGGCTTACTTTTGTTCCTACAACTGTCTTTATGCCTGCCCTTTCAAAAGCTCAATGAGAGTAATGCAATTACAAACATGATAGATCTGTTTGGATCCTTATTTCTGTTGACTGCATGCTATTTGTTAAAAATGTGCCCAGTCAAATAAAATAAACAGCAGCCAAGGGTGGTTTTTATATTAATTTCCTGTTGGTAATGGACAAAGGAAAGATTGTAAAATGGTGTTTTCTGTGAGTTTGCTTCAAAGAACCAAGGGATTGATGTAAAGAAAATGGAAGAAGGGTTATCCAAACAAGAATGGCAGCTGTTCTGAATCATGGCTGAAAATATATGCTTTTTCCAGCCTGACAGTATCTCCCTAATCCTTGATGAAAATGTTATGAAAACAAGGGACAATGAGGCAGGATTAATATGTGGAATTTTAATAACACTGAGGGTCATGGCACGGTTACAGTCTTTAAAGAGTCAACTATCGTTGTAGGAACGTTCGTTCTTTGTTATAGTATATTGTGCTGCTTGTTGATTTTAAAAGTAATAAATATAAATAAATATAACAATAGAGAGTGACATTAATATAATCTGAAATATTAAGAACAATTAATGTGAGATGCTGTTTGGCTTTAATTCTAGGTTTTACAACAGGTTGTTAACCATTTTGGAATTGTCTTATTAAAATGCAATATAATACATTTTGTATAATTTCAATATATCCTGAGCATGACATTTTATACATTTTCAGTCCACATCTATGTCTATCTTTTTTCTAGGGAGGACAGCTTGGCAAGAGCAGATATTTTGTGAAAATAGGCAGAACTTGACTCATTAAAACTATATGTATTTGTACTTATTACACTTAAGTTGAAAAATTAGCATACCAGATATAATAGTGAAAACTAGTAGGATGATTGATTTGTCTGTTTGTTCATTAAAATGATTTATTCCCTGGTAATCTGTCTTGATGGTTTAATCATTTTAATGGATTATCCTCTCTGACATTTTACAACCTTTTTACCACAGTTGTTAAGTGAATCACTGCAGTTATTAAGTTAATAACTCAGTTATTAATTGAATTTGGCTTCCTTATTTACTTTGTTTGTAGAAAGTTGGAAAAAGTGATCATATGACTCTTGGACATAACATCCTTCATAAATACATACCAGTTTTCAAGCTCCTGAAATTTGATCACATGACCCTAAGGATACTGTAACAATCATAAGTATGAAAAACAGCCACTTTTTTTCAATGCCATTATAACTTTAAATGGTCACTAAATGAATGCTATAAGTTGAGGACCACCTGTAAATAAATGGCATTACTAACAGTTGCTGCTTGAAAATCCTTCCATCTTCAATGGAATGAAGTTCTATTCCAAACAAGATTGAGCAACTACTCTATAATCCTCTGATTGATCAATGTGGGCAACAGAGTTTGATTTGAATTAAATTGATATTGCTACAGAGTTTGATGCAGTTTGGCTAAAATATGAATGTTATTTATTTAAAAAATATGATATAATTAGAATTGGAAAAAGGATTAGATCCTCATAAAAGAACTTCAGACATTGTTCCTGCTAAACACTAGTGAGTGACATAATGACATCCATGGGTTACATTGACTAAGGCTGATAAGATTTGAAGTTCAACAAAGTCTAAAAGGCTACATGAGAATTGTCCCTACTATCAAGAGAAAAACACATTTTACATTGATTTATATACTACTTATATACTACCCCATAATGCTTTACAGCATTCTCCAAGTGATTTATAAATATCAATATGTTGCCCCCACCACTCTGGGTCCTCATTTTAGTGACTTTGGAAGCATGGAAGGCTGAGTTAATCTTGAGCCAGTAAGGATCAAACTCCTGGGTGTTGCAGTGTTAGGTAGCAGTACTAATGAGCAATACTGCATTCTAACCACTGTGTTACCAAGGCTGTTCAATAATGCAACACATCACCACATACTATCCAACAAGTTAGTTCTGATTAAAAACTTAGATATTTCTGGCAAATCTTAATCTATAAAGAGAAACCCTCTCTTTCTATATTGATATTCAATCTGAAGTTTTTAGCTTGTTCAGTCTACTGGTTTTTTTTTTTAAAAGAAGTGATAAAGATATCTAAGAGCCAGCTGGAGATGCAGGCATGAAATTTCCACCTGCAACTCACTGTGAGAATTTCAGATTAAAGAAACTGAATTTTGAATTTCAATTCCATTATTCACATGTAGTATCTTTAGGTTTCCTTTCAGCATAATTTTTTTTTTTAAATTCCAGGGCAGTTTATGGGGTATAAATTAATCTGACCGTTAGAATATTTCATTCACTTGAAACTCATTTTAAAAACTGAATTTAAAGGGTAAGAATTCTATATTCATGGGGCTAACACAAATAAATAAATAATAAAATAAAATAAGTAAAGTACAATAAAGTAAAATAATAGTAAAGTAAAATAAAACAAAATAATAAAATAAAATATCCTCATGATTTCCAACTTTTCTTGCTCTTTTATTGATAAGATAATGATATAACAAAAATGTATGCTTTAGTTAAGTTTTCTTTATATTTATTTATTCTAATATTTCTTACTGCATACTAAGTCCAGATATGGATCCAGGGCTGGCTTTCCAATATTTATTTATTCTAATATTTCTTACAGCATACTAAGTCCAGATATGGATCCAGAGCTGGCTTTCCAACGAGAAGGATTTGGACGTCAGAGTATGTCAGAAAAGCGTGCTAAGCAGTTTTCAGATGCCAGCCAATTAGACATTGTTAAAACACGGAAATCTAAAAGCATGGATTTAGGTATTAATCATAGTCTTTCTTTTCTTTTCTCTTCTTTGTTCATTGTTGTGTTTCAATAGTATATTAAAATAATTTTGCTTGTTGTTTCCTGTTGCCATTTAAATTATTTGTAATACTATGTAGTTGATTATCCCATGGAGCTGAGTTCAATATGTGGCATGAAAAAAATTAAATATGATCAAGCCAAGTGCATTATATGTGCTTTAATAATTTTAATGTTTGTTTAACCTGTTATGGTTGTACAGATTTAGCTGTTGCAGGATTGTTCAGTATATACAGCAGCTGTACCTGTAAACATATCTCTTTGAATAGGTAGTTTTCAGAAGATGGAAAACACAAATTCAAATTTGTATTTTAAAATAATTCTGCAAAAACATACTTCTCGTTGTTTCTAGCATTGTTAAAACCTTTCTCTAAGGAATGATTCTAACATAACTCTAAGAAGCTTAGACATTCAGCTTTAGTTTAATCTGTAATCATTTAACAGCTGGGATGTTTAGTCCCATTACTTGTAATGACATATGTGGCTAAAGGCAATAGAGATGGACCTAAACAGGGATAGTGAATGGGACTTGGTTGAAGGAATAACCTACAGTGACAACTGCACATGCTATGGGACAACTGCATTTCAATTTTATAAGTGATAGAGAGTCCAATTTGCATGGTTTGATGTAAATGATAGGAATGTAGTCAATAGGGGCAGAATCATCTTCTTGTGACATTCTTCATGGTTCTAGCCATTCTTCAGTTTAGTCTTAAGTGTAGTTTCAGCAAAAAGATAGAGGTAGCTTTGAACTGTATTAAGGTAGTGTTAAAAAAGTGAGAAATGGCAGAATTCTGATCCATTGACTTGCAGTGTCAGTCTGGCTTAGATGTTGCCTTCTAAAGAATTCTAAGAGAGTCTATTATAGCTGAAAGAGTGAAAAAGCTATAGATCCCTACCAAAACATTTATTGTGTCCAAGGTTTTCATTGAAATAATATCTTGCTTCATCAGAAAAGGCTGATGTTGAGAAAAGCTCAGCAATTGTAAGTGTCAGCTATCAATAGGTCAGATTCCTGCATAGAATGTATAAAAGATAAAGTTTGTGAAAATTCTCAGTCATCCATCTCATGGTTGTCCCAAAGGTACTTTTTCAAAAGACAAATGGATTTCGTTTCACTTCTCATCCAAGAAGCCTTTTCAGTTCTGACTGGAATTAGAACTGAAGAAGCTTCTTGAATGAGAAGCCAAACGTCTTCAAGGAAAAACAAAGTCCAATTGTGTTTTGAAAAAGCACATTTGGGATAAAAGGTAAAAGTTTCCCTGTAGTTATGACCAACTCTATGGTGCATGGTGCTCATCTCCGTTTCCATAGTCATGTGGCTAGCATAACTATATACCAAAGGTACACAGAATGCTGTTACCTATTAATCTACTTGCATTTGCATGTTTTGAACTACTAGGTGGGCAGGAGCTAGGGCAAGTAACAGGAGCATATACACAAATGTACATACAATATATACATATGTATACATTGTATGTATATATGTGTGTATAGATTATACGTACATATGTATATCTGTAGATTGCTGTGACCACTTTAAAGTATCACAGATCTTAATGGAAAAACGTAGCCTACAGTGTATCTTATTTTAAAGAAGTTACTCAGATTAATGCACATCCTCCAGCATAATTGACAGGTTTCTCTTAAAAGTTTTCTGGAATATATTAGTGACTGGTATTCATTTAAAATTGCTACTACCATTTTATTATTTATTTCTAAATTCTCAATAAATTCATTATTCTGACAGAAGTAATTAATCTTGAAATCCTTCAGGTTCATATCTCACGGATAACGCTGAAGGAAAGCTAGCAATAGTAAATCTAGTAACTCATTTAATAATTCAAATTCAGCCTTTCTAACCAAGCTTTTTACATATCCCTTGGGAAGATTCATGAGCTTTGATATGTTTTTTTAAGTGTGAGAAAATGTAATAAATATGTAGACATTTGTAGTTTTTATAACCCCATTGGGGCTTTTAAAACTCAAATTGCTACTTGCTGATATGTGGTGGTCTTGCCTCAGCTAATTGAGATATGCTAGCATGTGAATAACATATTACGTTTGCCTGTGATCCAGAAATAACTGACACAAAAGCATGAATTTTCTAAATATTTTTCTCTAGGGCTTCATTTTGCCCCCTTAAGAGTGTCTGCATAATATGACATGTTTGCATGAGTAGTGATATTGGCAAAGTCCTCTAAATAAACAGTGGATGCATGAGGGACGTGGGCACTAACAAGGCTAACCATTATACATTTACCTTTTAACAGTAGCTGACGAGACTAAGCTCAGTACAATGGATGGCCAGAGAACAGGTAAGAATTAACTGTAGGGTGGTTGCCATAACAATTTTGGTGAAAGCAGCTTACTAAAATTACAGGGCTGCTAATCACAGTGCATGTGAAAATAATATGCCAATAGTTGCATGAATCTATTTATTCTCCCAGAATTCAAATATTACAAATACACTAATTAATTTACAATATTTTAGAACAGTTATAAGAATAAGAAAATTACAGCAATTTAGTCTACCGATTAAATGTAGTACTTAAAAAAAATATTTTGGAGAGCTTTTGGGGTGATATATCATTGGAATTCAGACTTGGTTTATGAAATCTTGAACATTTATCTAAGGCCTCATGTTAAACTTTTGAAATGTTGTTCTTAACCACAAAATTCTGTCAGGCTTGGAAATTCCTTAATCGAGCTTCCATCTCATTGTTCAATAGGCAATAATGAGTGTTGCTGTATTCACTGTTCATCCTGGCATCTCTTTGGTTTGTAAGGAATTAGAACAAAAAAATCCCTAATAATCAACTGTGTGTTTCACAAGCTATGCATTGTAGATATTTTGCTTTCTGTGTAATTGCCATGATTCCAGATTAGAAAGCATGAATTTATTAGCAATTAAAATAATGTACCAGGTGCAGTTATGAACCTTTATAATTTATTGGTCTGTATGGAAAGCTAGTCCGGTCAGGAAGGGAGAGGGCTGGTGAGGGTGGGGGTACTCCGGGGAGGGGAGAAGGTCGGAGCATCCCGGTTATGACTGGGATGGGCAGATATGGCGGGAGCCGAGGGGCAGGCCATCTTTGAGGAACGAGGACTCACTATGTTAGAGCGATTCCTTGTTCCGGCCCCTCAAAAGGCTCATCCTGTAGTACTGGTGACAGGGGAGTACAGGGCCCTAATTGTAGGCTGCTGTTGCTTAATGCCAGGTCCGTTGTCAGCAAAGCCCCCCTTGCCCGTGATTTAATATTGGACAGCGGGGCGGACCTGGCATGTATAACCGAAACCTGGCTGGGCCCTGAGGGGGGTGTTTCCCTCTCGGAGATGTGCCCGGACGGGTTTGTGGTGCTTCATCAGCCTCGACATCAGGGCAGGGGGAGTGGCAGTCATCGCTCGGAAGTCCTTGAATCCTCGTGGGATTCCTGCCCTGGAGGTTGTTGGGTGTGAGTCCCTCCTATTGAAGTTGGGTTCATGGGTTCAGTTGGGCTTGTTGCTGATGTACCTACCTCCCAGCTGCGTTGCAACAGCCCTGCGTGCATTGCTGGAGTCAGTAGCCAGGTTGGCGGTGGAGTTCCCCAGACTTATAGTACTGGGGGACTTTAACCTACCATCACTTGGCGATCGCTCAGAGGCGGCGCAGGAGTTCATGGCTTCCATGGCAACCATGGACTTGACCCAGGTAATTCAGGATCCAACTCATAGGGGTGGTCACACACTCGACCTTGTGTTTCTCTCGGGGCAATGGAGACATGATCTGGAATTAAGGGGAATAGAGATCTCACCCTTGTCATGGACAGATCATTTCCTATTGAGGCTGGACTTCAGAGCATCACTCCCCCATCGCAGGGAGAGGGAGCCGACTAGGTGGTTCCTCCCCAGGCGCTTAATGGACCCAGATCAGTTCCAGGAGGAGCTTGGGGAAATACCTGACTCCCTTGTCCACAACTCGTCCGGGTCCCTGGTTGCGGCCTGGAATGAGGTGGCATCCGGGGCCCTGGATTCAATTGCGCCTTTGCGACCTCTCTATGGTGGTGGTCCCCGGAGGGCGCCTTGGTTTACTGAGGAGCTCCGGGAGATGAAGTGCCACAAGAGATGTCTAGAGCGACGTTGGAGGGCCAGTAACTCTGAATCTGACCGATCACTATTAAGAGCCTATCTTAGGACTTATTTAGTGGTGATAAGGGCGGCAAAGCGTGTTCACTTTTCCACACTTATTGCGTCCGCAGAATCTCGCCCGGCCGCCTTGTTTAGGGTGACCCGCTCCCTTAAAGTGAAGGAGGCGGAGGAACCCTTGCAGGGGAGAGCTGAGGAGTTTGTTCAGTTTCTTTCGGACAAAATCACTTAGATTCAGAGAGACCTGGACTCCGACTGGGCAGTGCCAGCCGAGTTGCCAGGGGCTGGTCTTAGTCATGTTATCTGGAGCGAGTTTGAGCCTGTGACCCCTGATGAAGTGGACAAGGCCGTGAGGGCAATGAATGCCGCCACCTGTTTATTGGACCCGTGCTCCCCCTGGCTGATTTCTGCCAGTAGGGAGGTGACACGAAGCTGGCTCCAGGCGATAATCATGGAGGGGTCTTTCCCGCAACCTTTAAAGGAAGTGGTGGTGAGGCCCCTCCTCAAGAAGCCTTCCCTGGACCCAGCTGTTTTGAAGAACTTTCGTCCCGTCTCCAACCTCCCCTTTGTGGGGAAAGTTGTAGAGAAGGTGGTGGCGTCCCAACTCTTGCGATCCTTGGATGAAACTAATTATCTGGACCCTTTTCAATCTGGTTTCAGGCCCGGCTACAGCACTGAGACTGCTTTGGTCGCACTGACCGATGACCTCTGGCGAGCCCGGGATAGGGGTTATTCCTCTATCCTGGTGCTTCTTGACCTCTCAGCGGCTTTCGATACCATCGACCATGGTATCCTTCTGCGTCGTCTCGGAGAGGTGGGGGTGGGCAGCACCATATTGCGGTGGTTCTCCTCCTACCTCTCTGACAGGTCGCAGTCGGTGTTGGCGGGCGGACAGAGATCGACCCCTAGGCGCCTCGATCATGGGGTGCCTCAGGGCTCAGTCCTGTCCCCCCTCCTTTTTAACATCTACATGAAACCGCTGGGTGAGATCATTCGGCGACACGGGGTGAGGTATCATCAGTACGCGGATGATATCCAATTATATATCTCCACCCCGTGTCCTTTCAGTGAAGCAGTCGAAGTGATGTGCTGGTGCCTGGAAAATGTGAGGGTCTGGATGGGGGTGAACTGGCTTAGACTCAACCCTGACAAGACCGAGTGGCTCTGGGTCTTGCCTCCCAAAGGCCAACTGGATGGTCCATCATTAGTCCTGGGGGGGGCAAATTTACCTCCCTCAGTGCAGGCAGGCAACTTGGGTGTCCTCCTGGACTCACAGCTAAATTTGGAACAACATCTATCGGCTGTGGCCAGGGGGACCTTTGCACAGGTTCGCCTAGTGCACCAGTTGCGGCCTTATTTGGACCGGGAGGCTTTACTCACAGTCACTCATGCCCTTGTCACCTCAAGACTGGATTACTGTAACGCGCTCTACATGGGGCTACCCTTGAAGGGCGTTCGGAGGCTGCAGTTGGTTCAGAACGCAACCGCGAGAGCGATTGTGGGCGCGCCAAGGTACCCCCACGTGTCACCTATCCTCCGCGAGCTGCACTGGCTTCCTGTGGGTCTCCGGACGCAATTCAAGGTGTTGGTTATCACCTTTAAAGCCCTTCATGGCATAGGGCCAGGTTACTTACAGGACCGCATTCTGCCGCACAGTTCCCAGAGACCGGTGAGGTCCCATAGATTGGGCCTCCTTCAGATCCCGTCGGCCAGACAATGTTGGCTGGCTGGCCCTCGGGGAAGGCCTTTTCTGTGGTGACTCCGACCTGGTGGAATCAACTTTCCCCCCGAGGTTCGAACTACTCCCACCCTGCCGGCCTTTAAGAAAGCCGTTAAAACTCTCCTGTTCCGGCAGGCCTGGGGCTGATGTCCCTGGGGGGGGTGGGATATGATCAGACTCGCGTTATGACTGTATTATTTTATTGTTTTATGATTGTTTTAACTCTGTACGCCGCTCTGAGTCCTTTGGGATTGGGCGGCATATAGATAAAATTAAATACAAATACAAATATTAATGCAAGTAAACTTTTGATTTACAGAATGTTGTTTTAATTAGGGCAAATCAAGAATGTGCAAAAAAAGAGGTTCAATCGATCAGTCAATTTCAACTTCTCGCAGGAAAAAAAAATCATGCAAAGTTGGAATTGATTGATTGAACTTTTTAGTTCCACCCAGTCTGCCGTTACCATCGCAGCCATGCCAACCCAATGGGTCACACCCACCCAATTGGCCACACCCAGCCAATGGGCCACACCTATCTGACACCCGACAATGCATAAGTGGGTTTTGGGTTGCAGTTTGGGCACTTGCTCTCTAAAAGGTTCGCCATCACTGCATTAGGTCTTACTTTCGGGCGGTGTTATATATTTACCATGACACCTGTCTCGACAGCCGCATCCAGCAGGAGTCTGCATGGCTGCTGGCCACTTCTGCTGCTGCCGTTCGCGGCAGGAGGCCGTGCAGCACATTGCGCTGCTGTCGCCACAATGAGGTGAGGCAGGTGGGGAAGGGGTGGAGCTGCCCCATGTGTCCCGCACATACCTCCAGCTCCCCCCAGTCAGGCCATTCCTTGCCCCCTTTCTCTCCCCTCCTGAGCTAGACTGCCATGCTACTACACAGAGGATGAGTGGGGTAGAACTGGTCCCCCTACACCATTTGGAGCCGGGGGGGAGTGACAGCAAAAGGTTCCACTACTGCTGTGCACCACTGGAGGGGCTTTCTTCATGTTCAGACCCACAGATCACTTGCCAGGCAACAGCACCTCCTCTGCCAACTGTCCAGTGGATTGCGCCGTGACCGCTGCCTTCCTCCGCCAGCCCTCTGTCTCCGCCACTGCAGAGACCAGGGCGGGGAACAGTTCTGCACAGTGAAGCAGAGCAGAGGAGAGCACTTGCTTGCTACCCTGCATCGCCTTGCATCTCCCTTCTCCATTCTTGAAATGGCTGCCCCATTTCCTGCACTTTTCCTCCTGGCGCTGCTATAGAGCTTGGTGCACCATCGCCCAGCTTCTCCCTCTTCCCGAAAGCAAAAAAAAAAAAATATTCACTAACCTGCTTTCCAGCTCTGGTGCATTTCTCTCCTGGTTCAGGGAAATGGATTTCTTGAGACTAAAAAAAATTCAGTCAGACCTTCCAACTTCGCAAGATCTTTTTTTTTTTTCATGAGAAATTGGAAGGTCTGACTGAACTGGAAA